AGCATAAAATTGTAAGTCAATTTAGCGATGTCGGTCTGTGTGTCTGTCTGTTGTAATCACGCTATATTTGGAATAAATTGAGGTAATAGGATAAAATTTTATTAGGTCTACGTCCCTTTATTCGGTATTTTGATGATATTAGCAACATAGGAATTGTTTCAAATTTCGTATATAAAGTTCGTAATGGGAACTACAGCATATAACAAAAATTACTTTGTGTAGGGTATTAACAGTTCTTCCCGGCTGAACCAATAGCTTTTTGTTTAAATAATTTGGTATTTGACACTTCGTCAAACATTTTGGCATTAAACCGGTACCATCGATGTTACGGCATTTTTAGACTTGTACAACCTATTTACCAGTAAAAATTGATGATAAGGAAATGTTCGCTGCCTCCGGCGATGCAAATAGTAATACTACAGTAGCAATAGTAATGCTGGTAAATGTGTTTAAGGTAGACAGATGACTGGGATTACCATCAATCTAAATAAACATAATGTGCCTGTACCAGAAAAACTGCTTTAGAATTATTTATTAAGAACCCCATAGTATATTCCTGCAATTAACATCACCTCTTAGTAAAACTAAAGCTTGAATGATTTTAAAAAGGTAATGAAATCTCGTTGACACTAAATGATTAATTCCGATGTATGTATAGCGAAATAACTGTAATCTTGATATTTAGTGTTATCTCCATTACGATGTTCCGTTGCACTATCTTGATATTAGACATGATAGAAAAGAAGAAAAATGTCTAATATTTTAGATAAAACATTATTTATTCATTTGGGTATCTTGAATGAAGACATCACCTCCTAGTAGAACTGAAGCTTGAATGATTTTAAAAAAGTAATGAAATCTCGTTGTTACTAAATGATTAATTCGGATGTATGTATAGCGAAATAACTGTAATCTTGATATTTAGTGTTATTTAGAAAAGAAGAAAAAAGATCTAATGTTTTAGATAAAAAATTATTGTTGTTGTTGTATATTGTTGACCAGTTATATTTATTTTACTTATTTTGTTAATTGCTTGGCTTAAGGTCATTAAAAAACTATGTTTTTATATTTGAATTTTTCCTTTTTTATTCATCCAATATTTCGATTTCCTCCGGAAATCATCTTCAGGGATATTTTTAATGTAAAAAGCTTGTCTATTGAGTTTAAATGAATGAATGAAGTCAATTCCAGATCATCTTGCCGTTATCTTGGCTGGCATGTCAGTATTGAGGATGATGTTTGAGATACATACATATTCTGTTTTCTAATTTTGAGTTAAAGCTTATTTATACCATCCACCATACATACTATGGAGAGTATATTAAGTTCGCCGTTCCGTTTGTAACTCATCAAAATATATATAAATTCTTGATCAGCGTGAATTTCTAAGACGATTTAGCCCTGTCCGTCCGCCTGTCCATCTGTTGTAATAACGCTAGAGTCAAAACGAATAAATTTATGAAGATAAAATTTTGCACAGATCAGTATTTTGTCTGAAGGCAGGTCAAGTTCGAAGATGGGCTTTATTGGTCCACGATATCGTATAGCCCCCATAAAACGGTATCCCCGTTATTCGATATTTAGGTTTGTAAAACGGTGGGCTAAAGAATTTTCTCTTTCTTATATAACAAAACAGTTATATACGTCTCTTGTTAGACACATATTACAGTAAGGTTCTGTTGTATGGGATCTTCAATACGCAATATATACACATAAAATAGAATCAATGCAAAAGCAGTTTCTATCATTTGCCTTGATAGGTTTATAGTGGAATAGTAATTTTGTTTTGCCTTATAATATTAATTAGGTTGCCTACACTAAAAAGCAGTCGTATTATGTTGGTCTCCATGTTGGAACTAAAAATAATCAGATATCATCTAAATATATAAAAGAAAGTTGTGTTAGTTACTACGCTTATAACTTAAGAACCGCTGGACTGATTCTAACGATTCATACAAATTCGGAATTGTCTCCTGTCCGAAAAGGATAATATACAAAAAAATCGGGTAAAAATGTGATATATTAACATTTTCATTTTGACTTTTGAAATGTACAATAGTAATGTTTTATTTTGCATGATTTTTTTTCCATTTTGACTTACTTTTTTCTAATGTACATTTGTAGTGTTTTTTGTATTTTATTTTTGAATTCGAATATTAATACCAATTTATTTAATTGACTTGATTTCTTGAGAACTGAAATTGATGGCGGGTTACATGGAAGTGTAGTACCGAATTATGTGGTGGCGTAACGGAATAGACAATATCGAAATAATTTAACGCGGTCACGCCAAAGTTAAAAGATAAATTATTTTTCAAAATCGCTAAAAAATCAAGAAAAAGAGATCTTATTGCAAAAACTCTCAAATCGGGAACAAATCGAAAAAAATTCTATGGAATCGAATTTTAAAATAATAGTACATTCTATTGACAAACTTAAGGAGGATCTTTAAACATTTGCTGTAAAAAATCAGAAAACAAGTTGAAGATTTTTTCAATTTGTTATTCTTCTTTTGTCAATTTTTTTCAATTTGTATTATCATATTGAATTCAGTGGATTTTTTGTGAACAAAATAATGATTTCTATCCTTCCAGAAATTCTTCCCAAACATTCAAGATAACTTAAATCGCTTTTGCAGGTCATGATATCGATCATAACTCACGGATAAGGGTACAAACCGATTTCATATTTATATATCCATCGTATGATTGAAGCTATTTTTGGGGTCATGCCCACTTTTTTCATTTTTGGCAAAATTTGAAATTTTCAGAGTAGGGCCCATATTGGTCTTGACCACATTTATCAATTGATTTGGCTAAAAAATTGTATATACGCTACCCTGGTGTATGGAACCATCATACAGATAATTGTCACCTAGGAATTTATTTAAGTAAAGCCCCCACATTGGAGTATCCCCAAGTCCACTTTCACATCTAAGGTGTGTTCAGAAAAGAAAATTTTGTATTCTATTGAATTTGTAACCCCCAAGAGAATATTGGTTGAGAACATAGATTTGGGATGCACATCTATATGAAATAAATTATGAAAACATGGACAAATTACAAATATAAGAAAGTAGCACGGGACAGAATATTTGTTGAATCGTCGTTGAATTATACTATGATAAAAATATGGACTTACAACTTACAATTTACAACCAACTTACAATTTAAATGGCAAATGAAATTAATTCCCATGGGTGTAAAATTGCTATATTTTTGATTTGGTCTCTGTTTGTCATATTGGATTATAAGCGGTAGAAGAAAGTTTTCAATGAATGTCGATATTTCGGAGTAGTGCCCATGTAAAGGTACCTCCTGATTTTACCATATTTCAAAAGATTTGGCTAAAAATGTATATTTGGGTGGAATCTTACACAAAAATTGCAACATATCTACAAATTTTAGAATTTTCTCCATGTAATAGTACCCCCTCAAGTCCACGGCTTAAATATGGGTATAGGTATTTTAAAACACTTTTAATCGACCAGTACGTGAACAGATATCAGTCATATCTGTGAATAATTATACTTTGACAAATATGCCTAATAGACAAAAACTACAGGCCGGCAACGCGGACCGGGCCAGCTAGTATATTATAATTAATGTTCGGTTTAGATCTAGTAGATACTACCAACTATTACATAGCGATTTTCGTCGCACGAATTGTTCAATGGGAGAACCTTGTAGTAAAATGTGCGTTGATTTAAATTCTGTGTACTGTAATGTAGATGTTGGTACTCAAACAAAATATTAAATGGTAATATACATTCAGATCTCATCTATTAGAATTAATGTTCCGTTTAGATCTAGTAGATACTACCAATAAATACATAGCGATTTTCACCGCACAAAATGTGTCTTGATTTTAATTCTGTAATGTAGAATTTGGTATGCGCTTAGAAATTATTATATCTAGAATAATTTTATTTTAAAACAATTAAAATACAATAAAACCTAGCCGATTTATTAGACTATGTTGCTGGGCTGGGAATGTTGCAGAACATTGTATATATAGGTTCATGTTTTCTTATAGCCCCAAATTCGAAATTCGGTACTTAGGGTACTCGTTAGAAAACTGCTAGTTGACATTCAAAGTTCTAACAATAAAGAGTAGGCAGTTTCTAACTAGTACCATGACAGGTAGTCGCATCGACACAGCTCAGCTGCTGGGACAATGAACCCAAACCGAATTTAATCTTGAATGAAAAATTATTGAAATTTGTAAAAATTGTTGTAAAATACTTATCTGAACAACCTCCAATTTGCATCTTATAAGAAAACACATAAAAATCTACTTATTTTTGAAAAAAAAAAAAAAAAAAAACATTTTATAAATTTTGACATAGTACATGACGACGAGTACGCAAAATGAAACACAATGGAATTAGAACGACAAAATAAAAAAGTGCAATTCAAACAATATAAACTCAATAAAATTATATAAAATTTCTTGCTTAAACACAGGTATTCAGAAAATTTTATCAACACATTTTAGCTGCTTTAATGGCATAATTACAGAAGGTAGAACAAAGCTTTTGGTGCCCTTATTCTATCAAAACATATACACATTTGCGTATGTGTGTATTGTATTTGAATAAAAAATACAATAATTCGAAATTATTTATGCATATTTTTATGAAACTGTATTGTCCTACCATTATAGATTCAATTTTGTGGAATAACCCCAAATTCAATTTTTGTTTCGAAGGTTTTCCCCAATATAAAAATGTTGTTAAAAAATTAAAAATAAACAAAACCAACTTTTGCATATTTTTTTTTTTTTTTGTACTTCAGTAGTTGTCAAGTATGTTGGTGGAACACACAGTGTTCATTTACCATTACTGGTTATAGGTTACTTGCAACCATATAAAGTACTCTCTTTATTGTTGTGAATTTCTATTTACATATGATTACATTAGTGTGTTTTTAAAAGAGTTGTAGGAAAACAGAATTAATTAAAATAAGAAAAACAATTTGTCAAGTATGTTGGTGGAACACACAGTGTTCATTTACCATTACTGGTTATAGGTTACTAGCAACCATATAAAGTACTCTCTTTATTGTTGTGAATTTCTATTTACATATGATTACATTAGTGTGTTTTTAAAAGAGTTGTAGGAAAACAGAATTAATTAAAATAAGAAAAGCAATTTCCGAAAAAGAAGTTGAAATTACAATTCAATTTTACATTTATGGATAAAATTTAAGAGATCATTGAAGTGGTCTATATTCATGGACATAAGAACATCAGGTAAGTTGTTGAAATGTTTGAAAACATTGTTGTTATTTCTTTCCCTTTTATATTTTTTGCAATTGAACAATATATGCTCCTCATCTTCGATGACGTCACAGGTTTCGCATAGATTGAAGTCGCAAATTCCCACTCTGTGGAAGTATTTTTTGGTATAAGTATGGCCGGTAAACAGTCTATTGATTGTTTTTATGCTTTCAGGTTTCATCTGCAAATGTTTGTGCCATGGTTGCTTGGGAGGATTTGGGAAAAATCGGTGGAAGTATGCACCTTTTTGAAGTGATGTCTCCTTGAAGTAATCCACAAATTCATTCCAGAGAAGTGCGTCAATTTTTTGCGATGCATCAGTAACCGAAAATTCGAAAGGTATGATACATCCAGCTTCCGTTGCCTGCTTGGCATAGTAGTCAGCCGTTTCATTAATTGAAATTCCAACATGGGATGGAACCCAAACAAAAGTGACCTTATTTATGGAGGAACAGGCGATCCTTTGGACAATGTTGGCTGTGGTATGATTATTGGAGGAACTGCAATTCAAAAGTAAACAAGCATTCTTGCTGTCGGTGAATACAGCCGCTGTGCTGATTCCATCCTCGATGATTATATCGATAGCTTTTTCTATAGCATATAGTTCTCCCGATAAGGAGGAAAGTTTTTCTTCAATTTTGAATAAAAAGTTCTGCTTGGCGGAAATATTACAAACAGCGCATCCTGTGTTATTATTGGATACCGAGGCATCCGTCGCCCAAATGGACACTCCTTCAGACATGAAATCATTTAGAGTGTTGCGGAAAAGTGCTTGTAAAACTTCAGAAGCAAAATCTTTTTTTGAAGAATCAAAAATGTTTAGTTTAATTGAAATTTTGGAAAGTTTAACGTTTTGTCCAATTCTGGTTTTGTCAAAAATATTTTGAAATTTGGTATAAACATAGCCAATGCTGGTGTTCCTGGACGGATTACTTATGAAGTAGTGATATAGAGAGGAATTATAAATTTTTAATCTAATTAACTCCTTGGCAGCAAGATGTTGAGCTCTAAGATCTGTTGGAAGAACACCAGCAAGAGCGCATACGACATGATTGGGTGTTGATGGGACAAGCCCCAAATTTCTTCTTAGCATTTGATTTTGAAAACTAGACAGTTTTTTGTTTATGTATGCTGGCCTATGAGCCATTGAAGAAATAGTATATTCTGTTTTGGAAAATACTAAAGACTTACATAACTTTACAGCTTTATCCGGAAGAATTCCTTGCTTTGGGCCAGTTACCATTTTTAATGCATTTAAGGTGTTTTTGCAGGATAGAATAACTTCATCATAATGTTCTTTGAGGGAAAGACTATTTTTAATATGTCTGCCCAAGAATTTAATTGACGTTACGACATTGACTTGATTTCCATTGATCAAAATACAGGGTTTCTTACTGCCTCCTTTGGCAACATACATCACAGCTGTTTTTCGGTATTTACGCCAAGGTTTAATTTGGAGAGTAATGTTACCAAATTGTTGGTTTTGTGTTGTAGTATCCGGTTTGCAATTTCAAAGTTTGAGTTATGTACTAGGAGAATAAGATCATCGGCATATTGAAAAATATCTGTGTTGTTGTCAGATATACCATGCAGACCAAGTGTGTATAGATTAAAAAGAGTTGGACTTAGGCAACATCCTTGCGGAATACCATTGTATATATTGAGGCGGGAATTTCCTATTATAAGTATTCTTTTGCATAAGAAATTTATGATCCAAGTCCTAATTTGCTTGGATATGTTTAATTCATATTATATGGTTCGCAGGCAGCAAATATCAACACATTCATACGCCTTGGACACATCCATTGATAGCACTAATACTTTATCATTCCTTTCCTTGTGAATGTTAATTGTGTGGAGAATGTCGTTGATGCAAGTTGAGGTAGACACATGCTTTCTATAGGCATAGGATCTGCTTGGCAGTAAGTTGTTTTCTTCTACAAAGTGATTTAAACGCTGTTTTACCATCAGGTTTATAATTTTTGCTAAGACTGATATTAAAGCAATGGATCTAAAGTTCGTTGGCACATCTAAGTCTTTTCCTTTTTTTGGTATTGGTACAATTTTGATTTCTCTCCACGTATCAAGGAAGCTGCAGTTTTTCCATAATTTGTTATAAGCAATTAGGAGGTTTTCCTTTGCTCCTGTTGAAAAATTGCTAATCATTTCATAGGTAACACCATCCAGTCCAGCTGCAGATGGTTTCTTTTTTTGGTGTAAAACGTGAGATAATTCTTCTGTGGAAAAAGGATGGGTTTCATTGATGTATACAACATTGGAAATGGTTTGGTTGTTGTTTGGAACTTGGTCCTTTAGATGTTGGAGATAGGTTTCATTATTGTCTGAACACCACTTAGCGCAAGATAGAGTCTAAAAATATGCCTTACAGCCCTTGATGTATCGAAAAAGAGATTTTGAGTTGGATATTGTATTTAAATCATTTAGTTTTGAAGCTTTCTCTAGAGCTTTGGCCCTTTTTATAGCATTTTGGAAATTGTTCCTTGTTACTATGGCATTCAAAGCATTTTCTGTATTCTTGTATCTTTCAAACATTTTCTCAGCAGCATCTTTAAGATGTAGTAATTTCATAAGATCATCGTTCCACCACGAGTTTAACTTTGTTTTAGGTCCGATAACAAAGATCGATTTTTTCACCGGATTATTTAGATCGGATTGAATGCTATCCATATCAGTATCAATACGAAGATTGGAGATATTTTTAAGCAAATGTTTCTTTGCAAGAAAGGTTTTTTCTTTTTGTTGTATATTGTCAATATCCAATATAATGGGTTTATGGTGGCTACCGCCAATGGTTATATTTTGCACTTTCCAGGTAATTTGTGTAAATGAGTTGGTAAAAGTGAGATCCAAGACAGAGCCATTAGATATATTTTGCAAATTTTATTAAAAGTTGCAGAACCATCATTTATGCATCGAAAGACGGAACTATCGAACAAATTTTTTACGGTCAATCCTCGTACAGTGTCAAAAACATCTCCATATTCTTTGCACCTTGCATTGAAATCTCCAGCAATTATGACATTGGACCTTCCTTCTAATAAAGTAAACAATTTTATCATTTCTGTTTTCAAGTCATTCGATTTGACTGAATGTACAAAATACAATGATACTATGTTGTAATTTGGATATAAATTTGTTGTTTCACAGATTAAAATGTCTAAGTTCGTATTGAAGCTGATTTTTATACCCTCCACCATACTATGGAGGGTATATTAATTTTGTCATTCCGTTTGTAACTCCTCGAAATACTCATGTCAGACCCAACAAAGTATATATATTCTTGATCAGCGTAAAATTCTAAGACGATTTAGCCATGTCCGTCTGTCTGTCTGTGTGTCTGTCTGTCTGTCTGTCTGTCTGTCCGTCTGTCTGTCTGTCTGTTGTAATCACGCTATCTTTCGAACAAATTGAGATAGAAGGCTAAAATTTTGCACACATGTATATTTTGCCTGTAGGCAGGTTAAGTTCGTAAATGGGCCATGTAGGTCCAAGTTATCATATAGCCCCCATATAACTGTACCTCCCGATATTCAGTATTTTTATGATTTTAGCGACATTATTCGCCGGAATTGTTTCAAATTTGGCATTTGAAGTTCGTAATGAATACTACAGCCTAAAACAGAAAATTATCTGTGCAGGTCCATGTCTTCGTGTAGCCCCCATATAACGGTACCCCCCGATATTCGGTATTTTTATGATTTTTGCGACATTTTTTACCGGAATCGTTTCAAATTTGGTATTTGAACTTCGTAATGGATACTACATCCTAAGTCAAAAAATGAGCCATGTAGGTCCACTTCTTCATATAGCCCCCATATAACGGTACCCCCCGATATTCGGTAGTTTGATGATTTTAGCGAAATTATTCAGCGAAATCGTTCCCAATTTGGTGTTTGAAGTTCGTAATAGATACTGCAGCATAAAACAGAAAATGGGCCATATAGGTCCACGTCTTCATATAGCCCCCATATACCGTGCCCCCCGATATTCGGTATTTTGATGATTTTAGCGACATTATTTAACGGGATTGTTTCAAATTTCGCATGTGAATTTCGGAATGGATACTTCAGCCCATGCCAGAAAATTGTCTGTGCAGGTCCATGTCTTCGTATAGCCCCCATATAACGGTACCCCCCATATTGCGTATTTTAATGATATTAGCTAGATTATAAACAGATTTTTCTTCAAGTTTCGCATTTAAATTCTGTAATAACTTATGACAAAAGTTGCCTATGCTGGCCCACGTCGTCGTATAAGCATTCGGTATTCTTAAGATTTTAACAGAATTTTTAACGGATTTTATTTATTAGAAAATGCCAAATTTGTACCAAATGGTGGAGGGTATTAAAAGTTCGGCCCGGCCGAACTTACAGCTTTTTTACTTGTTTTTATATGAATATTCTCCTAATGTAAAATGGCTACGCCACCATAGTTATCACTTCTCTTCTTGGTGATAAGCTTGTAATTTTGTATAAATGTGTTGTTCGTATTTTCATCAACATTAAATATTTCACTAAGTGTGCAAATGTCCACAGACCATTTGTGAATGTATATTTCTAGATAGCTTTTATTTTTAGTTAGGCTCTGAATATTGTGCTGTAAAATTCTCATTGTTAGGAGAAAATACTGATTTTTCTTCTGTTGTTGCTTTTATGGCAGTTGCAAAACTATTAAGCATATCTAAGCCTTAACTGCAATTTACTTTTGACAAAATAATAGTCATTTGTTGTGTAAATGCCGACAATATTTTTTCGTAGTCAGAGATTTTTGAGAAATTCTTAAAATCAAAAGTTGGTTTGGTGGGAATTAAATGTTCAACATCTGCTGTATCGTGGGAACGTTTTGGGACTTCAGTTGCAATTTTGCTATATTTAGTTCTGGTTATTTTTCTATTAAACTCTTCATCTAGAGTCCTGTGCGTTGGTTTGGATACTTTTGAGATGGTTGGGAACTCATTCTCGTATTGTGGATCATCTAAAATGGCGTAATAGTTTGGCGAGTTTTTTTGCACGACCTCCTTTCTAGAGAGATTTGAAATAGCCATAGCCTCATACAGATTTTTTTCTTCCGTATATTTATGACATTTTTTCGCATCCATGGCATTGTGTTTATTATCATTGCATAAGATACAACGAGGAAAGGAACAGAAAATATTACATTTGATAGTTGAGAGACAAAAGTCGCATTTTGACTCTCCGCATTGATTTGGGCAGATTATTTTATTTCCACAGAGAAGACATCGTTTATGGGATCTATATTTGACAGCAATATGTCCTAATCGACCACAATTTTTGCAAAAGCGTATTGGCGGAATATAAAGCTCAGCTTCAACTAATGAGTTGAACATTCTAATTTCTTTCACAACGAAGTCGGCGACAAGACCAATTTTAATAGTTTGTGAGGGGACAAACTGCCCTTTATCGTTTTTGTAATTAAAGCGAAAGATTGAGACAGCTTTAAAATCATTATCACTGTTGTTTATTTGTTCGATAATCATTTTACCATTGAACACGGTAGGCATTGATTTCACCACATAAAATTTTTGCAAGAATCTATCTGGTATGAAAGCATTAAGACCAATATTTTTTAACCTTGGATCCAAAACAAAATTATTCGCAGACTCGCTGTTGTTAAAAGTCAAACGGAAGGTTTTTGTA